CTGCTCTAATTAAATTTTCAGTCTAATCAGTTATAATGGAGACATTAATCAAATGGTCACACAAAGGCCATTTATAGTGGTTTAGGGAGATTTACCCTTCAAGCTTTCTGGCTTCCTCAAGTATAAAATTAGAATGATAGTGATAATGGCTATTATTTATTAAGCCCTCATGGTGTGCCAGACATTGCCTTAAGCTCTTTATATTCATGATTTTACTTAGATCCCTTTCAGCTCTATATCTGAGACATCGCTATGCCTCTTTGACTCAGAGTTAGGAAGACACTCCACACTGACGATGAGAATCAGTCATGGGTACTAGGCTCAGAGATGTGCAGCTGTGTTTGGAGAGGAAGTTTTGTATCTCCTTACCTCTCACTGGAACTCTTTTAGGGGTGGCCTCTCCTGGATTCCATAGAAACCACTGAGCACACAGGATAAGGGAAGCTTTTACTGAGAAACTACAGTGCCCCTGATCCCGCTAGGCTTACTACTCCTCACTCTAACTCTGGAGGTAAGAACTTTACCTCCAGGTTCAGGACACTGAGGTTGAGGACACTGAGGCACAAAAAACAAAAACTCCAGGATAAACAGAGAGTCTCTGGCTATAATTAGTATGTACAGATGTGAAAATTGGACAGCGAAGAAGGCTGACCGCCCACCTGCCCCCCGCAATTGATTTATTGAAATACAACGTTGGAGGAGAGCTCTACAGATACCCTGGACCACCAGAAAGATGAACAAGTCAATCCTAGAGCAAATTAAGCCTGAAATAAAGGAAGCAAAAATGACAAAACCGGAAGCAAAAATGACAAAGATGAAGCTGTCCTACTTTGGGTACATCATGAGGAGGCTGGGTTCTTTAGAAAAGACCATCATACTGGGAAAAATAGAAGGCAGCAGGAAAAGAGGAAGAACAAGTATGAGATGACTGACTCCATAAAAGAAGCCATAGGCAAGAGCTTGTAGGAGCTGAGCAGGGCTACTGAGGACAGAATGTTGTGGACATCACTCACTCGTAGAGCTGCCAGGAGTTAGAGCCAACTTATCGGCATGTAACACACCCCACACCCACTCTGACTCCAAGACCACAGCACAACAAAATATCTCTGTTAGGACACTTACACAAATTTATAATATATTTTTTACATAGCTCTTTTTTCCCCACATTTACACCCTTTGCTTGTACACTTTAAGCTTTTAGACCATGTCTTATTCTTCGTATCTCATGCACCTGGCACACTATCAGCCCACACAAGAGACCTAACAAATGTTTTCAATGCACGAATGCCTTATAATCGTCTAAAAATTGTTTCTTGGCTTCTTTGGTAGAGGCGTCTGAGCAGATGTGTAGGGGAGCACAGGAAGTTTCTCCAGGTTTCTCCCATTTGGTGTGGAGGTCTCTATGTGTTGCTTGAGCTCCACTGAGCATGAAAGGTGAAGTGGAGCTCACTATCAGTGCTTCCAGGCATTGAGTATGTCTGCACTAGAACTGCTGCCAAGTAACATGCTGTGGCCCTGGCTGAGGCAGTGAGAAATGTGATGAGGAAAATAACAAGCCCAGAAGGAGCTTAAGGAAACTAACTCAAATGACTCCACACCCAGCAAGGAGAAAATCATAACTCAGTCAGAGTGATAAGGAAAACAAAGAACAGACCCACAGTTTCTATGGTTTGAGCATTTCAGATGGGAAAAAAAGACCAAATCTGAAAGAGAATCTGCAAGCAATAGTCATAATAGCAACTTCCTTTATGAGAAATAAAATAAAACATATATTATCCCTTAAAATGTACATTAAATTATAGTCTGTCCGTGTGAATTATACCTGGAATTAGAAAATCTTACAAAATTGTGTATAATGATGACAAAGTTATTTTTCAGAAAGGGTAGAATTCTTATTTTTACATTTATTAATTAATTCTTTTTTTTCCAGCTGCCAATTTATTAAATTTTATTGGGAGACAGAGTGGATTACTGAGATTAAACTTTAATTTACTAGACAAATAAAAGTAGTATAAGAAGTCTCAATTCTTCTTAATGTACATTTCACTCTACTAATCTTTTCCTCTCCTGCTAGGTGTCAAGATGGAAAAGGGTCAGAGAAAAGAGAGTAGAAGATGTATGTGTTTTTGAGATTAGGCAAAGGGAGAAAAGGTAAGTGGAATGATAAGCAGATGCTTAGCTAGATGCCAATACCAGGGGGAAGCAGCCTGCAGCCAGAGCCTCCGTTGGAAACAGACAAAGAAGCCACACTTCAATTACATTGTTTGTGATTATTTGTATTGAATTGTCTTGCTTTTACTCTCATTGTTGATGTCAGTTTTTTTTGTTTTGGTTTGGGGTTTTTTTGGTGCATTCAAGGACAATTTTCATCCGTAAAGATAATCAGAATGTTTTATTTTTTAATTTTAATAACTGATGCTATTAAAGTTACAATTTTTTTTTAAAAACCTGCTTTTACCATAGGCTTCTGAGTTCAACTCACAAATGGTACTGTTCTATCTATATGTTTAGCAAATGTTAGCAATCATTGTTTTAAAAACTTTAAATAATGTTTGGTCTCACTTACAAATTTAAATACCCTTCTAATTAACATCAGTTTAATGGGTTAATACTTCAACATTTAATATTTATTTTTTCTCCTTTTAAGATATTACCTTAGCAAAATCTTTCTGAACGATAAATAATCATATAAATTTAGTAGCAAATTTACAAAATGGCCAATCATAAGTTCTCTTAAATATTCTCATAAAATTTTAAAAATGCCAATTTAACTTTGCAGGTCAAACAACTAAAGTTTTTAAATTAGAGTTATTTTAAAAAACAAACTATCACAAACATAAGAACGTAACATTTAAGACAAATCACTTTTTACCTAAAATTTAATACTATAATTTTGATTCTCTTAAATCTTTCTCCATGTACAGAATTTTAAATCTCCATGAGGTTAAAACATATATTTACCTCTAAGGAATGTCAGTTGTCTGAGATTATTTAGATGAGATAGTTCGACCATGATGCCGTTTCTTGTTCATTACCAGAAGGGGACTCATTGAATAATCTTTTTCATAATCATTGTTATTGCTTCATAACTCATGCACGTGGTCATGAGCCATGAACCTGAAGTTAAATTATTCATACCATATCAGCGTCTTTCCAAATTTTCAACTAACTCATAAAGAAAGAAATGAATATACTTCATACAATGCAAGTATATTGTATTTACATACAATTCTTGGTTCTAATCCACAAAATAGATTCTATGATACATTAATTAGAAGCAATTCCCATTTATGAAAAGTTTCACCATCTTTTATTTTTCTATCCACTCGCAGAAGCCTTCCAGAGTGATCACTCAAATGGAATTTGCATTTTATAACTGTTATGAAACGAAGTGTGTCACCCCCAAATTTATGTTGCATATTGTTGAGTCATGTTGAAGCCCTAACTTCCAATGTGACTGTATTGAAGACAAGGCTTTTAAGCAGGTGATTAAGGTTAAATGAGGTTATAAGTGGAGTCTCGATTCTATAGAACTGGTGTCTTTATAAAAGAGGAAGAGATAACAGAGATCTTTCTCTCTCTACCATGTGAGGACACAGCAAGGCAGTGTGTGCGAGCTAGGGAGAGAACTCTCACCAGAAACCTTACTCTGCTGGAAATTTACTCTTGGACTTTTCAGGTTCCAGACTGTGAGAAAATAAATTTCTCTGGATTAAGCCACCTAATCTATGATTTTATTATGGCAGCCTGAGCAGACTAAGTAGACTCTGTTAAAGACATGTAATACAAAAATTAATAGGATCTTGCATTTTCCTACATTTTGGGGGCCTAGAACTCTCAGGAATAGTTTTTTTTTTAAATGATAGCTGATTGAATTGTAGATATCTTTAAAAAATATCTTGGATATCTTACTAGATGTAAGCTAATAGGACTTGCAATCTTAGTTAAAGAGGCTACTTTACTAGTGTTTATCTGTGTCTAATCTCTTATCATATCTGTATTGTGCCTAGTTTTAAAATCATAGAGAGAGATCAGTTTTGGAGAATGTGCTTAGTGTGAGTAACCAGCTCATCCAAAAAATATATCAGTTTAGATGCGTCAGGTTGGCAGGAGTCAGGTGAAATCCTGGGAAATGAAACAGGAGTGATATGGTTTATCCAACTTCCTCAATGCGAAGCAGTTCTCTAATTGAGAGGAAGGGCTGGAGGTAAGCCGGGGAACTGCTCTGAGTTAGGAACAGCCTCGCAATAGGGATCCTAAGTATCAGTTAAGGTGTCCTAAAATGTTCCTTAAACATAGACGGGAGCAGCCTCCAGGTGCTCAAAGCCCACTGTGTGAGGAAACAAACTATTTATGAACCATCCACCACTGATGCATCTGCCATGCTTTCTGGTTGAGTTCGATTTGTTCTGGAGGAGAGGCCAGGAAGACACAGAGAGGATGGCTCTGGGACTATGCAAGAATGACGGATGTAGAGGGGTGTTAGGATGTGTTTGTTTTCCTGAGACAATTCCTTCCCCTGAGAAGGAAACTTAAGTAAGACTGCGAAGGGAGAACCTTTGTTATAACAATGAATTCCTGTCAGTATCAGCATGAAACAGGTATGTTGGGATACTGTTCATCAGATGCTCCACTCAGAAGGCAGAAGGGTGACTCAGTACCTCAATGACCTGACCTTTCCTTTCATGCTGGGAACTGGACAGTCGAAGAGGGACCGAAAGGTGGTTTATATATTAAAACCATGTTTGACAAGGAGAGGAAGAATAGAGAGGAGGGATTTCCAGGATATTCTTGTCAGCTGGACTTCAAGTGACTGATGATGACTCAACAGGAAAAGTGAAGGACTGTTTTGTACCATTCTTAGGAGCCACGTACATTCCTAATGACCTATTGGTGAGATATTCTATCTGATAATAGCTCCTTTCTGCTCTAACAAGTAGTGGCTTACTTATATACAAAGAACACTGCTATTGATGAGCCTTCTCTAAAGCAGGATGAAGTCGATACCTAAAATAAGAATATTCCCTTCTCAAGTAATAAAAATAAATCATAGTCTATCTAAGCTGTTTCAGGGCAACTTCAAATGTGAGAAAAAAATTAGTAGCTAAATTATTTCTAAGAAAATGTGACTTCTATTAGTGTAGGAGGCAGAACTTTTAACTGTGACAATATAAAAAGTATAGCATAATTTTGGTCAAGAGTATAAAACTGAAGTAAGTATTTCACAAATACCAAAGATCTATTTAAGTGTGTTGATTATATGGCAAGGTAAGGCAATAATTTTAAATTCTGTATCTTCTCCATTAGTCATTCTCTGATGATTCTTTTTGCAATTGCTTTCACTACTTCCAGCTCTACATCGCCAGGCAGACCCTTGTAGTTCCTGCCCACTGGACATCTCCACAATGGTTATTCCAAAGATACTACAAGCTCAGTATGTACACTTTGCTACACTTCATCCTTTTTCCTAAACCTGCTTTTCAGATTGCATTTCCTGCCTTAGTTGGCTAAGAAAGAAACTTGACATGTAATCAGTCACTAAGATACCTCTTTGATATCTCTGATGTCTACTCATTTCTGTCAACCCCCAGCTTCAGCATTAGGTCAGTCCTCATTGCCTGGGCAATTGAAATAAGCCCTTAATGTGTCTCCATGGCTCCAGTCAGCCATTCTCTAATCCATGATTGCAGTGAGGATAATCTTTCTGAAAAAAGCAAATTTCATTCTCTCCAGGCCTTAAAATCCTTCCATGGCTCCTCTTGATTGATGGATAGGGTCCAAACTCCCTAGTTTGCCAAACCAGTTTCCGTTATCTCTCTAATCTCACTGATTGCCAAATCTTTTGCTCCTGGAATTATGCTTCAGTCAAGCTCAATTTCCTTAAATTCTCCTAATGGGCTTGTAAGAGAGATCATTAGGAGTTCATGAGGTCTCCATGAGAAGTTTTCTATTTTATGTTTTAATTTTGATAATTATTTTTTTAAATACTATTGGCATATTCTGAATCATTCAGGTCAGTGGATTTCAAACTTTAGCACACATAGGACTCACCTGGAGATCTTATGAAAGGGCCGCTCTGTTCTGTGGCCAAAGGCATTTCTAATAAGCTCATAGGTGCTGGCAGTGCAGCTACTCTGTGGACCACAGTTTGTGTAATAAAGGTCCAGAATGATCAGTTTTTAATTGAGTACAACCACAAAATTGTCTTGTTGTCATGGACTAACAAATAAAGAAGAGAGGCAAACTTAATATTTTAAATAATATTCATTACGAATGAAGACCAAATGATGTCACAGCTTGCTATATAAATAAAGATCTGGCAATTGTTCTAGTAAAAGATGATGAAAGAATTAAATCATTTAGTACAAAGTAATATAGGCATGTCAGGCTCAAAAGATTCGTAGTTATCAAGACAATATTATTTCAGCAAGAAATATCACTCATGCCATTAAATTGATATTGCCATTTGGAATATTAATTTTGTATTTTTCTTTATAATTAATTTATCCATGTGTTTGGGTTTTATAATTATATAATAGCTATAAACATTAGGATTTATACTTAGTATTTTATTTCTACATAGTTAGGAAAACAATTTAAACAAATTCCAGGGTATAAGATAAATTTACTCCTTTATAATAGGTCTAAATACTGCACAATTTGAGAAACACTGGACTAAGCTAAGTCATGTCTCTTTGACTTTGCTGCTATTGTCATTTCTGCCCGGAGTGCCCTTCCTTAATCCCTTGCCAACCTTGCCACCCTGCCATCATGTCCACTTAGCAAACAGCTATTTTTCCCTATGGCTTCCTTTCAGAGATTCATTGTCAGCTTTATATTAAACTGTGCCTTATCCTACTTCCTTTCATAAGATCTATGACACATTACCTCACACTTGACTTCATGTGTTTGCTTACTTTGTTGACTGTCTGTTCTATTCCAAGGACAAAGGTCTTGTCTTTTTCTTATTTATGTTTGATCAGTGCTTGGCATAACATACTTGCTCAATAAATGCATGGTTGTAAAACTTGGCTTGCTCCTTCCTAGACAGAAAGAGTGGGTCAACACATCACATGTTCATATTTGTGGGCAAAAAAAATTAAGAGTATAAAACAATTGTAATATACTTCTATGTGTAATTTGATTTCAATATAGTAATTCAAAAGCTTTACTTGTCTCCTAGAGAATCTGCTGAAAAGTCTGTATTTTTGCTAATTTTCCAGAGGTCTTTTGTTGAAGTCAAAGCTTAGAGAGTTTTCAAATAATGCAAAAAGAACATTGTGATTACATTTTGGTTGATGCATCATCAGAACTAAAAATAGAATGGAAAAACTGAAAAATCTTTACTCGAATCTCCAGCCAAAGTATGGTTAAACATTATGAGTGAGCTGGAATTATTAAAACTTTAAACTTTTACTTATGAAGGATAAATTCTGCAGCCCATAGAGACTCCTGGCCCTAACTTCCTTGTGTTTTGGTTTTGCCATTCTATTTTGGTTAGCATCTTCACTAGAGCTGGATGAGGGAGTGAAGCCGTTTGCCTTTAAAAAAAGGACAAAGCCTAAAGTACATTTGGCTTTATTTGATAGTGAGACTGATTTTTCTGGCCTATATATAGAAAAGACCTACTTCCTAATAAGACCCTCTCTGAATTTATCAGAATGATGGACAGTGTGGGGTTAGGGTTGGGATGAGGATCTGGGGACCCAAAATGGGTTCTATCTAATTCTGTCCCTGATATATAAATATGACTATAATACTACACATATCCTGTTTGAGAGAATGGCTTTGATAGAACAAAGTTGGTCTGGCACAGCACAGAACTAAATTTTTATTTTATATGCATAGCTGCTGCCACTTCATTATGAGAACAAGACTCTTTCGACCCTAGAAGCCATATAAACTAATATAGCTCAGTGGTTTTGGAGATTAATTCATTTATATCTTCAACTGAGCATTTCTCTACTTAGAATGAACAATCTAAGAAGGAGATTTCTATTCAACTCCTTCAGAGTTACTTATTTTACTCCCTAGCAGTATCAAACATACTCATGATTTTCTTACTCTTCCATGATCCTTCTTCCTGGAATGCCCATCCCCATCTGTGATGGTTAATTTTATGTCAACTTGATGGGGTTAAGAAGCACAAATAGCTGGGAAAATGTTATTTCTGGGTGTGTCTATGAGGGAATTTCCAGAAGAGATTAGCATTTGAGTTGGAGAACTAAGAAAAGTAGATGGCCCTTCTTCCCAATGTGGGCGGACATCGTCTAATTTACTGAGGGCAAGAATAGAAAATAAGTTGGAGGAAGGGTGAACTTTCTGTGTTTGAGCTGGGACATTCATCTTCTCCTTCCCTTGCACTCAGTAGAGACTTATGCCGTTGCCCCCTCCCTAGCACTCCCTTCTCAGGCCTTGGACTCAGACTGAATTACACCACTGGCTCGCCATGGCAGATTACAGGACTGCTCAGCCTCCTAGTCACATGCAACAATTCCTATAACAAACATTTTATCAGTACTGTTTCTGTGGAGAACACTGACTAATACTTATTCCAAGGAAAAAATCAGTTTTTCAAAACCATCCCCAGATATTACTTTCTTCAGAAAGCTTCTCAGTTATCACCAGGGAGTGATCCAGTTGACCTGATCTCAACAGGGAAGGAATAGATACAAATGGACACGTGGAATCTTAAAACTCCTGGTACAGTGGAAAGAATACTTGATTTGGAATCAAAAGATGTGGTTTCAAACCCTCCTTCTTCATATGACCAAGTAGAGAAATTTCTGTTTTGTACGCTTTATAGACTGGTCTTCCACATCAATTTTTCTCTTTGAGAAAAGAATGTTAATCTGTTTGTATGCCTACTCTCTCCCACAGTTCTGTCAACAGTGAGTGTGTGTTCAAATATTCATTATATTGAGTTAAATTAAACATAGCATTCTTGTTATTGTACCAATACTGTCTTCTGCGTTTCACACACAGGACCTTGGTACAAAATTGCAGGCCTTTTTCCATTTGGTAAAGAGGAAAACACACAGACTAAAACAGATTTGCCCTATTTATTTTCTGATGTGTGAGAAAATTGTCCAACCCACATGTCGGAGAAAGGGAGTTATTTATCATCACTGCGTATTTTGTTCTCTAGCATTGACTTTCAAAAGAAATGAACTAGCCTTCTAGACTTTATTTTCATTGATGTCTTTGCTCTACCTGTACACTCTGTTCATTTCTAAATAGACTCTTCTCCTGGGAACCCCATTTTTGAGACAGATATCTAAACCTCAATCTTCATTTTGAACATCTTAAATGCCTACGCACTAACCGCAGCTGTTTGTTTATTCTCTGTTTCAACAGGGACAAATGTAGTCACTAATTTTTGCCTTTTAAGGTAACAGCTGATTTAATACTTGCGGGGAGGGGGAAGCCATCATAGTCATAGGAGAGACAAAAATACAGAATATCAGCAGTCTGTGTTCTTTGAACATTCACACTGAAGACAAAAACAATGTTTACACATTATTTAAGGAAATAGGAGAAATTTTGCAGTAGACAGTATATCTAAATGATTGCTTTTTTAGGCAGCTTTTGAAACTTTTATTATGGAGTGTGGTTCATCAGAACTCAATTTGTATTGTCTTTACCCATATGTTATTGCCAGAAATTCAGAGTAGCCCCCAGGAGGGAAGTGCCCCCCTTATTTTTGGTTACAACATATGACTGGAGGTCATGTAATGGGTATATTCACATTTATCAAGTTACCCCCACATGATACAGTCCTGGCTATACATCTCTGATACCAGTTTTTATTCATGATCATTTGGGGAGCTGACGTGGTATTCCTTGAGTAATAGTTATACCTTAATGTTTGTATAAACTTTTATATTTTGCATATTTTATCTCATTTAACTCTCTGTATTATTCAGAACTCTTTTAGCTGCAAGTGACAAAAACCAGCTTAAACTAATATAAGCATTAAAGAGGAATCTTTATTAGAAGGTAAGGGCTTACCTGAAAACTCCAGGGGTAGACTTTATGATCTGACTTCGATCATGGCAGGAATAAGATGTTTCCTATGACTATGTTTAACCCTATAACTCTCAGCTCAGCTTTTCTCTCTGATAACTCAGTCAGCTGGCTTTAGCTTTTCATTTTTCTTAGTGCTTGCTACCTTAGAGGAGAGATTCTCTGTGTATTCGTAGAGCAAAGCTCAAAAAAGGACTCCAGTTGGCCCCTTGTGGGTCATATGCCCGTCTCTGGGACCATCAGAGTAGAGAGAGGGTTGGAGTGTTACGATTGGCTAGATTATTGTCACTCTCTCAACCCTGTGGTCTGGAGACTGGTGGGGCTGTCCGAACCAACAGGTGATTCAGAGCTACGTGGGATAGGGAGGTTCTGCTCCTTGAGGGAAACGAACTGCTGGGAATTGGACAC